AATGGAACAAAAAAGAAAAAAAGAAAAAGAAAAACTTTGTATTTGAAATCTATTCTACGATTGATATAATCGGGTTATTGTCGATTCGAATCGTTACATATCAAAGTTGAACGAATGACGAAACCTTGTTTCGTTTATAATTTTGAATATATATATTTTTCTTCCATCTATTTTATCGATGATAATAATGGCATGTCGGAGACGTTTTGCTTTCGTAATTCTTAACACCCGACTGCACTTTCTAGGCCAAGTAGGTGAAAGTAAATACGTTGCAAAAGTCAAGTTGAATAGCATGAGAATCGGTTGCCGCTCGATCAACTGTAATACGATTCTCGCGTAACACTCTTTGTCTTCGGTTATAACGAAACCGTTCGTTTCGATTATGATTAGAAATGTAATCGAGATTTTGCGAATTTGGACGGATTATTCTTAAACGTATCGTCTTCGTTTGGAAAAAATATTATATTATATCGATTATTGATGGTGGAACGACGACGAGTTTGGAACAAATTTCGAGCACGAATATACCTTACTCGATAATTTATTTGACCGATTTCCGTTAAACTATAAAATATACGATGTTTCTGTACGATGCAAACCGATTTATTTCGTTTTTACTTGCAAAACGTGTTTATACGCACCGGATGGATAAAACGAGGAATTAATCAAAAACAGCTGGAAATGAGCCGGATTAATTACGATAATTAACGAGCTTCGAATCTCGATTCATGCGTGATTGTAATATCGAACGATAATGAATTTTAATAGAAAATAAAAATAATAGTCCATATGTATTTTATATACACGAACAAGAATTTTTTTTTACATAAGCGAATAAGCGATTTTTATCTTCGATCGAAGTTGCATCGTTAACATTCGCGCGAGAAAGTAAATATTTTAACCGCTTTGATAAGAGTACAAATTTGTGTCTTGATGTTTTCCTAGTGTTTCAGACTAGGCGAGGAAAAAGAAACAGCTCTTTTCAGGAAAGGAAATTGTCGAGAAACGAATACTTTTGCGCGTAAAACTGCGAATTGGATCAGAAAAAATAGAAATTTATTCGTAATATAAATTTAAAAAAGTCAAAATGAGTATGCGAAGAAATGGGGAAAGAACGTAACGTTTTGTTCGGCTATGAATGGTGGATAAAAAGAAATACGATATTGATCTTTGCAAAGATAATTTTAAATTATATATCGATTGATCAATAATGATTAGACTACGAGATATTTCCATCCCGTGTATCAGCAATCTATCAGTATCTCTAATAATAATGTAATCGAATTGAAAATTATAATTAACTGATTTTTTACATAACTATTACGAGTTAAATTTTCTTTCTCTCTAATATCATTTTCTTTAAAAATATTACAACATTTAAAGAGCGGGTTACGAGATAAAACGATTATCAAAGTTAGTTATGAAGTTTAACGGGAAAGGTGGTAATTATTGCTTAAAAAAAGCAATATCAAAGTTTGGTTCATTAACGATGCGGAAAACGTTCAAGTTGGTTTTCAAGGAAAAAAAAGAGTTATGAGTAGTTTGAAAAGTAGTGCGATTTCAGCTCTATTTTTCGATCGAAGGGAATTCCATTTATCAAATATTCGTCGTATCGAATTCAAAAAAAAAAAAAGTATATGTATATATATAGATCGATTTTATCAATAGGTATATGATATTGGAATTGGTTTAAATTTGTCGTTAGCAGCGAAAATTTGTGAATAGGCGAAGAAGAAAGGTTGAAACGATTCTACCAACTACGATACGCGATATAATGCATTACAGTTCTGAACAGTGGGAAACATGTGCGATGTAATTAACAGTGCCGATAAGCACATATGAATATTATGGTTAATTTACGATCGCGGAGTACAGCCGGTGAATTTACGAGATGCCGCTCGGGGGCATTCCAACCCAAACTGTACTCTCTCACTGTATATCTACGTATACCATTGCGCGAGGATAAACATTGACCGAAACGAAGGCTAGAGAGGCACAAATGGTAGACGGGCAGCAGAGGGTTAGAAGAGAGTGTGCGTAGTCTGGTGAAGAGCGAGAGAAACTATGGTCGAATGGTAAAATTTACACGCGCGAATGTAAACGGCCAATTAGGACGGTCCTTTGACGAGACGAGGGGAAATGGTACGCGTGCGTTTTCGTCGCCAAGCCTTAGAAAAGAAGAGTCTATCTTTGAAAAATGTCAATATTTTACAAGCCACCGCTCCACCCTCTCTATCTCGACTCTCTTTGTTTATTTCGTCTCGGAACTAATCTAAAAAACTTGATGGAAAACTGTCGATTTCGATTAATCGCCAGAATTGACGAATGCGCGTACGAGATTATACGAGATTAGAAATTCGTTAATTCGTTAAACTCATTTCGATTGATTAACGTATAAACTCGAAGCGAATCGATTAAATAAAGATTCGACTCGGGGCAGAGATAAGATAAGTTTTAAATCAATTTCGACGTGTAATTAATAAGATGTTCGTGAAAATACATCTATCGCGTAATTTTCTTTCAAATTCGATTAAATCCTATTAAAATTAGAAAAACTTTAAACCGCTATTTCGGATCCTACTTCTCGATAATACAAGTTTCGATCAATGAGTGAACGATTATTAGAAGCGCGGAATTATACTCTTTTAATTTACGTTTACCATGTCTCTGTTGCTTATTCGCTCGTATCTCATCTCCTGCGTATCGTATGGACACTTTGATTCTTTCTAACTTGGCAACAGATCGAGATATCGAGATGAAACGGGAAGAGAATTAAATGGCACGGTTTCTTCTATGTCTAGAGTCGGTTTTTAGAACAAATTTTTACTTTCTTTTTACGATTTCTACGCGAAAAGTTCAAGCTTGATTTCAACGATCGATTCGTTGTCGTCGATATAAGTTATAGCGATAAAATTATCCGTAAAAATATGCAATTTAATATACAATATGGCTTTGATTTACCGGTCATCCGTGAAAAATGTACATCTTTGACGCATCGTTCGTTAGAATGGATCAACGATAAAATGTTACGCGATTCTGTCGTCAAGGTTGCCCATATTAAGTTAATATTGGATAATTGAACTTTATTAATTGTGAAAGGAAAGGCCAAGTCGAAAATGAAAATGATCAACGCGCATATGACTGTTACGTAAAATCTATGAATTTCAGATAGACACGAGTGAGAACAATGATTATCGCATTTTATTTCTGATTGATGATTTTTTAAAAAGAAAACTATTATGTAGTAAATATTTTGAAAACTCAAAACTAGTCGACAGAGATTTCGGTCTTTGCCTATTCCCTTTATTCCGCGTTTTCGCTTTTCGATTTTCGATATCAAGGGATGAAGGAGTGAGAGACATGGTAACGTATCATTACCTTTTCCTTACACCGTGAAAGATAATTTTAACGCGTCGAAACTTTGAGAATATCTCTCATGGGAGATCATTTACGATGTTTAATGGTACACACGGAATAATCCGAGACCGCGGAATGACTTGAATTTCGGCTCGAATAAGTGGATGTGATATATCGTTGGATAATGAAATTGGAACAAGGATAATTAGAAAAATTTGACGGAAGAAAGTAAATAATTGTTACGTTCATCTAATATCGTTTTTTTGTATCGTTGATCACATCGCAACGGGATTAGGACGAATCGAAAGAAAGAAAGTTTCGGAATGGAGAATTAAAATCAACACTTTTGTTCTTAATCATAAATCTCTTACGTATTATAGTTTTTCACGAAATATCAAAGATGATTCGGATGATATCGATTCTGATCAGGTACAAACATTTGGCGTAGATCCATTCGTACGAAGTAGTAGACCTTTTTCAAATATCGTCGACGATCACGGGTGAATTGCAAATTGAATAAAGGTACGTCGTCGGTTGTGAACCGAACCTACACACGCAGACAGTGGTTCATCTGGCGCGTATCCAAGTTTTTTGGTCCTCGACGGAAATTTTAACGCTTTCTATTCGATTGACAACCATTGCCGATCTCCCGGGAGAGAGTTCGTTCACGATATCGGTAAATTCGACCGTATCGGTTAATTTTCTCCTTTTTTCTTTTCTCTCTCTCTCTCTCTCTCTCTTTATTTATTTTTTGAATACAAGCGACGCGGGATTAATTATCGGTAACGAGAAAACGCGATTAATTACCAACAACAGTTTCTGAACAACTGGAACGAAAATTCGCTTTCGTTCCTATTCATGGAAAATCGAGTGCAAAAATTTCCCGAATTAACTTGAAATATATCCGTAACCGAATCGGTGAAAGCATCGTTTTACTAATATTTCAAACATTCTTTCCGTTTTCCACGTTTTCGCTTTTGAAATAGTAAAAGCGGAAAAACTATATTCGTTTCGATTTTCTCGATCAAAATCTTTAAAATCGAAAGATTAAATTTACTACTAAAAATAATAATATCGAGTTCGTGTTTTCGAATATTCGATCTTAATATAATCGCTTTCCGATTAACTTCGGCTCTAACGATCCTACCACGTATTACGCTCTCGTGTACGCGAACAGGATGAATGTACGGATAGGAAATAGTCACGGAACACTACTAGGAAAGTTTAGGTTATGGCGTTATGGTAGCATTTAACAACTGCGCAACTTTCAATCCCGAAGTTAAAAGTTAGTTCGTCGTGACGAAGTAAAGCGCGTCTTACGCAGTGCGCGCGTTCTGTTCATGACGTAGCCACAAAATTTCACTCGAAAATTTTCTTTATCGTTTATCCTCGCCCGAGATTGTTCATCCATTTTGAAAATGAATTTTTATTTTATTCTTATAATATAGATAGTAGAAAACAAATATTGCGCGTCTAACATTTCTTATTGGTTATACGTGCGAATATAAATAATTATTATATCGATCCTTACACGTACCATTAACGCGTACATATATACGTCGTTAGAGAGTTTGATTCGTATCGTTGGTTAATCTTCATCCTTACGCGATATATTACACGATATAATCGAAATATCGACTTACCTGTAAACGCTTTCGTCGTACGATAACAGGATTCTAACCGGTTGACTGATACTACGTTTTCTTACTTCATGCGCTGCTTCTATGTGAACACCGTGAATAACCTACAAAAATAAAGAATACGCATATGTATATATCATATACACCGTGAATATAAAACACGATCCAAACTTCCTTCGTACGATTGTTTATTACCGATTAATTAACGCGAGTCGATTATCGACGATAATACGTCATTCAGCGGTTTTTTTATTTATCGGTACAAGTATAGCTGCGAAAATTTTGACGAATTTTCGCTTCGACAACGATTTAATCCGAGATTATCGCGGTTGGTTGATCTTTACACGGGCGCGCATTGGTTGCTCGATAAAGCACGCGCGATAAGAAGAGAAATTAGGAGAAGCGTGAAAGTTTGACAATTAAGAGAATAGTAGCGAATATGCCGGTAGAGCGGTTGCTAAGTTAGGATGGTGTAAGACGCTGCGTCCCGTTCCTCTTCACCTTGGACCTTCGATCTAACCTTCATGGTCCTTTGCCCCCTTGGGTAGTAAAGTTAATGCCTGTCCTATCCTCTCAAGATATCGCATTATCGTTAAGAAGCTTTCCGCGCAGGTCATAAACTCTCTCCGCGAGTATAAAACTAGATCGGATTAAAACTTAATGCGGATCCTCGCATAATTGCATTCCTAGCAAACTCCTCTCTCTCGTGACGATGAAACCAACCAACCCTGTTACGCGATATTTCATACATTGATGTATTGGCTCGCTTTAGGCTATCGGATTACGGGCGAAAATACTAGTCGGGAAAGCGAAACAAGTAAGTATTTGCCTATTGCTATGTTAAATTCTAAATTTCAAAATATTCTTAATATATACCATGAATTTTTTATTTAAAGAAAAAGAAAACAAAAATTTCGTGTCGTATTAAGATTTTTAAGACGCTTTTTTTTTTTTTTTGCAACGAAAGATAGTTTAATCAAAGGAACGTCGAACTCGAATCATTTTTTTTTCCATACGCGAATCTACCGGTGGATAGCTTTCAATATATACCTATCTATTGCATGTTCGTTAACGAGAAAGAGCGAATGGATAATAAAGGGATCACGGAAACTGGACAGGTACACGATCTCCGTGGTAACCGACTAGTATTTTGCTTTATCTCTCGATATATATCGCTATCTGGAATGAAACATAGAAACTTTTGCATATTTTTTTTAAATATTATCTTATTTAAAAAATGCGTGTCGTCTGAAAAATATTTACATATTTACAACGCAATTATGCGAGCAAAAATAGGTTCAAAAATTGTACGCACCCTTGTTTCTTCGTTTTTTATCGATTTTTAACGAATTTTATATGAAATATACGTTATGACAAATATAAAAAAAAAAAAAAAAACGAGCGACTATTCGAATACCGATCAAACGAACAAACTTCCGTTTTCATTTCGATATAAAATAACGATGAATATTAATATAATTTGATTAACTTTCATACGCGAGATAACGATTTTTCCATGGTATGGCACAAGAAATGAATCGTAAACGAAGCCGGCGAGGAGGTAATCTTGCGGTGTTTCTATTCGAGCGCAACGGAAGATTGGCCCATGAAGTGTGCGTAGGAAAGAGCAAGAACGGTAGACGATGGTCGCATCACCCCCCATGTTGCGTTCTGCCACATACATGCCGCTGCACTAACGTTCAAGTGCATTTACCGCGTACACGATTCTAGCGGGCGATCAAAGCTTGTCTCCTCGGCCTCCTCCAGCTTTGTGCCGTGGAACAAACCTTGGACCCAAGTAGCGCACGGTAAACTCAACGTGCTACGTAATGCATACATACGGATACATTGCCAGAAACGACTGTACCTACAGTTATACTATATATATATATATATTATATGTGTACATAGGTGGGAGAAGATCCGTTGTATCGCTGTCAGTGACACGCGAGCTTCGAGTAAAAGCATTCCTGTGCAAGGCGTTCTTGTAGAGTCACGGCTTGTCTCGGAGCTTACGCTCCGACGAATTCTCCTTGATCGGGAATAACAAGCTTGTCGCGGAACGCTATCTCGCGTATTGACTTTATATTTCTACTCCCGTAGAAAGAGGAAGCAAATTTATTTATTATAAGCAAAATTATTTATTTTTATATATTATAAGCAAAATTATTTATTTTTCAATTTTCACACGGATAACCATTTTTTTTTTAAGGAAATAATTAAAATATAAAATATAAAGAAAAGACGGCGAAGAGTAAAGCTTAACTGCGTAATCGAATGCGTGTCGAGCGATTCGAATCAAATAGTGTTTTTGAAGTATATATCCAAAATATCTCTAACGTCAATTAACAATCGGAATTGCAAATTATAGAAAATGGCTCCTAGCGTAATAGCTACGCATAATCGAATTCGTATTCGATTAAAATTATTTTCGTTTAATCTAAGTTGATCCTATCGTATCTTAAAAAAATAATCACGCTCGAGAATCAAAGTTAAATACGTATTTGACTGTTTATTGAAAAAAATGTCGAAATGTAAAATAACGCGTATCGCGCGATTGGCTTGTTACAAGGATGTAAACGAGCCTGATTAACTTGTCATTTCATCCTTGGACAACCTCATAATTCATTCATTATGTATAACCGTAATCCTCTTAGCTTCCTCTCTATATACGATAGGGAAGGACTATAGAATTAGGCTTCTAAGCCAAATTGGCATCTTCAAAGTGGCGAAGATTACGTTGCCAGTTGCCAAAGTGTATTTCTCTTTACAACAGTTCGACGACGATTTATTTGCAATGTAAAATGTATTCGCATTCGTACGCGAAATAATTTAATTTTACGAGTAAATAATACGGCCATTCCCTCCTCTTCCAAATGATCATTTCATTCCCGTATGTCGGGATATATGTCATATGTATATAAACGACATAAACTTTGATAAACTTTTAACAACGATTTGCGTTTCGTTCGGTCAAACATAAATAAATAAGATTAAAAAAAGTACAGTAGAAATGTTAGAAAGTTGAAATTCGAAAAAGAGTTTACACGATCATTGCATCGGCCGCCATAGATATAAATATCGTTCGTGTATCCAACTCGTGTGCCAATCCTTTTTTTCGAAATCGAATCGAAACACTTTTTCGTGTCTGTGCGAGTTTACGATTCGTCGATAAGTCTTTTCGTGGTCGATTGGCGTGGTTCGCCGTTTGTATGAATTATGCAGCAATCGGTTTGTCCGGAGTACGATAAAAAAAAAAATCTATTATTTCAGAATTCTCGTTCAAACGCGAGAATAAACACGATTCGTTAAAGAACGATTCGCTTCGTTTCAGATCTATCTTTAACGGATTACGCTTTCGATGGACTGACTGTTCGATCGAAAATTCTTATTTTGAAAGAATAATCTAAATAAAACCTGTATAGCGAAATAACGTATGGACGATAATTAAAACGAACAATTGGAGAAGAATTTAATCTTTTATATGTATAGATACGTACAAATAAAATGATACGCGAATTGATTGACGTCGTACATATTCGCAACTTGATCTGTTGGAGAAGATTCGCGACGTGGAAAAGTCCGTTACGAATAAATAACCGTGATTCTTACGAGATACGATGAAAATGTGCAGTCTACAAACATTTATGGATTCGAATTTGTTCGCGTCTCTAAAGGGATTCGAGGTGGTAACTGTAAGTTATCGACTGCGAGATTACGGAAGATGATGAATCGAGGACGCGTAAACGGATATTTTTTAGATTTTGAACTCGAACCGTAGTAAGAATGCCGTACATTTGCCGATTTACCGAATTATTATTTATGAAATTATTATCGGTACGTAACCGATAAAATTTCCTGCATTTCGTGCAACGAAGTAGAAAATAGAAATTAGATGAATTTCAAGTCTGCACGTTATTGCGACGAATTTCATGCGAGAAGCGTGGAAACGTACATGTTATGCAAATTGCTTCAATTTATACCGTATCTGGAGACTGTTGTTTGGCCAGGTTAGCGACTGTTAGCCAGATTGGAGAGAGAGGTTCGGGGCTGGCGAACGTGCCTGAGCATCGATTGCCACGCTTTGCGGCACACGACTCGTAGCATGGAACCCAATGATCTGTGACTGTTGCTGCCACCTGTACAACCTCCTACATACCAATTCCGTTCCAATATATATATGTGCCGAGTTCTTTCTTTCTTCGAATCTTAACATCGTAAACTTGCGTTTAATATCGTAAGCTTTGATAAACGGATGCAATGACGAATGAATCGCATAGTTACTCGCTCAAAAGATGAATCACGATGTAAAATGACATTAATTCTGTTTAATTTCGTTTAAATCGTTTGCTCATTATCGTATTTACACGTATATTTATACGAGAGATCGATGAAACGAACGCGTATACATTTTCATATATCGAACTGGTATTAAATTATTCGCTTTATCGCTTCGATGTTATTCTTTTCCTTCGATCGCACAACGTCAACCTTTGTCGCTTAACTACGTTATTTTTTACATTATATGCCGTCGTTCGATTTAACATGTATCGAGTTTTAAACTCGTAGTATACATCGAATAAATACTTACTACCACTGCGATCGTCACTTTCGATCGAAAAATATTACTCGAACGTAATATTGATCGAGGCGTTAAACGACGAGATGTCGCATTTTACGATTTGCACTTAGGTATTTAACCGAGCAACAATCGAACGCATATTTACGAAAGATGAATTTCTGCGTTCGAAAAATTGATCGAAAGAGATAAATAAAGGAAGCATCATTTGAAATGGATATTAGTCGTTTGCCGCGAAAGAATTTGCAGCAAACATCCGCCGCAAAGGCAATAACGGAAAAGATCGTCGATCATTCGAGATGACGCGCGCTATCATCGCTTCTCGTCCAATAATCTCAACATTCGCCTGTTTCCTCGCTGTTCGAAAACAAGTTGGCAAAGATTAATTGGACGAGCATCAGCGGTGGAATATCTGAAAAGAAGTAAAGGAATCATCCTATCTTCTTCGTTTCCGATGACACGTAAAAGTAAGGAATTGAATCCCTTCGAGACAAAAATCTGGATATATTCCAACGGATATTTATC